ACACTGAGAATGAGAAGAACTGGAGATACAGGGACTCACTGGCCGAGTAAGTGTACATGTACATGTACCCTCTTCTTTATACTGTGGGTCTTATTTTTGAGGGAATTGTACATAAGATTTGTTAATTTTGTTGGTCAGGTCAGATTCCATTAATTTTGTACAAATAAAACATAACGGGATGCTTGATAAAATAATATAACATTGTGAGAGTAAATTTGAAAAACGAATGTTAATATGCACTCATATGTACCATGTATGTACATGCATCATTATGTTTTGGTTCATAGTTTAACAACTGACAAAATATGAGTGCCCTACATATACGTGTATCCTCTCCTTTATACTGTGGTTTTATTTTTGAGAGAATTGTGTTTTGTGTACTTTGCGGAAATGAAATCTAAAAAAAGCTAAAATGTACATACGCCAATTGTCAATGGATGTACATGTATGTATTAGTTCATAATGACAGGTAGACATGAAGAGTACATGTATTTACCTAGTACTTTCCTACTCAAAGTGTGAGCAAGTTTAGCAACTTGTTTTTAAAAGTATAACATTTGATATTTTAATAAGGAATATGTATTTATGTACAGTACCTTTAACCATTGTAATACTAAATTACTAACAATAGTACTAATGCTAGTACGCAATTCACTGGATGTACAATTGTACATATACATGTACTTCTCCTCTTATACTCATTTGTCACTGCACAATCAGTGACACTAGCTATATTGACAGATTGTAATTTTGAGCAGCAAAAAATATTAAAATTGCAATCATACTACACATGTATAACAAGAGTACATGATGTATCATTAATATACTAAGCATCTATTACTTCAACGTCTCATCTTTGGAGTCATGTTTTACTGAGTCTAAAGTTAGTGTAGAAGGATAAGTTCTCATACTACTAATATCTGATACTGTATGATATCCACTGGATACTATTCTGTGACACTAGCAGCATCTTCCTCTAATTTCACATTGCCTTTCTTATACATGTAATTATAAATCAATTTGCTAATTTCAGAGTCCTTTGAAAGTGATATTGCAGTGTGCCCTTCATTAGAATTAATAGTTGGATCAGCTTCCCATTCTAATAATAACTTAACTACTTCATAATGTCCTTTAGAACTAGCAACCATCAAAGCAGTATGACCTTTTCTGTTTTGGACATTAAGATCAACTCGTTCCTTTAGCAACAGTTTAACTATTTGAATGTGACCATTTTGACAAGCCGACATAAAAGGCTTAAAAGCATTCCCCCCACTGTTTCTTTGAACATTAAGATCAACTTGTTCCTTCAGCAACAGTTTGACTATTTGAGTGTGACCATTTTTACAAGCCAACATAAAAGCATTCACTCCATTTTTCTCTTGAACATTAGGATCAACTTGTTCCTTCAGTAACAGTTCAACTATTTGAGTGTGACCATTTTGACAAGCCAACATAAAAGCATTCCAACCATCTTTCTCTTGAACATTAGGATCAACTTGTTCCTTCAGCAACAGTTCAACTATTTGAGTGTGACCATTTTCACAAGCCAACATAAAAGCATTCATTCCATCTTCTCGTTGATATTTATAATCAACTCCTTTACTAATCAATAGCTCAACAACCTCATATTTACCATAGTAACTAGCAATCATTACAGGATTTGATCCTTTTGAATTTTTCAGGTGAGGATTAGCATTAGCTTGTAGTAACATGTGAATGATTGAAATGTGATTATGTTCACTTGCTCTCATTAGTGCAGTCCATCCTTTATTGTCCTGAATGTTAACATTAGCTCCAGCAGACAGTAAACTGTGTACAATGTCCTCATGTCCTCTTTCACAAGCTAACATTAGTGCTGTCTTGCCTTCTTCATTAGTATGATCAATATTAACAGTTTCTAGTTGAAGAAGAAACTCTACTGCTTCATTATTACCAGCTGTGACTGCCTCAAGGAGAGCTAGTTCAAAGGTGAAGTTCATATTCTTATCTTCTTGAAGCGGAACAGGATGATCATTAATGTATAAACTCAATATACCAATGAGACGCATAAACTGTTCCTTTCCTCCAGTATTTTCTATTATACTATCAGCTGTAGAACCATATACAGAATATTTGATGAGAATGCATCCAGTTGTTATGGTAATGTATTTCATTATTGACTGCTGGTGTCCAATTGGAAGTAAGTTGTGGATCAGTAGAGAGAGTCCATTGATGTTGCTACCATGCCATGGATTATGAAGCTTCATTAAAATCATTGGCATATTTGATGTATCTGGTATATGTTGTTCATATATTGTTTTTAATGATTTGTGTAGATGTTCTACATTAGCTGAAAATCGAAGTTTATCAGCTTTTTCTTTATGTTTCTTTAATTCACTAACAATGCTTAACTCATCATCTCCAAATTTTAAATCTTGTAGAAAAATTTCACTCATCTCTACTATCAGGCTACAATCAATAAAATCATAAAACGGATGAATAATTTTAAAAGCTTCATCTGACGATATATTTGCTAGTTTCTCAAATTCATTCCAATGCATGTAAGTCTCCAACCATATTGTAAGTTTATGTAATATCTTAGGATCTTTCTCAGTCTTCTTACCAAGACCTAATCGTGCATGCATCATTAAAAGAGAGAATTCTTTATTGAGGGCAAATAATGTATCCAATATTTCCTTTTCATCTTCTGCTGTTTTAAACATTACTTCTGCCTGTGATGATCGTCTGGTAGTGATATCACAATGACTTCTAGCTGACCTTGGTGCAATTTTTTGTAAATTTCTTCTAATGTCTTGTACAAGTGTGTTTTCCTTATTATTGCTCAGTGCATTAATCACATCAGCCCATGTTGCTGTTGGTGCCATCTTCAGCCATTTGGAGTACAATGCTGACTTTTGTTCATCAATTTTTTTATTTTCTGCTTCAATCTTTAAAATATCTGAATGAGTAATTCCTGGTAAGCCAAGACCAAATGGTTTCCAGTCAACAAGTGGTTCAAGCCATTGAAGTAATAGGAAAATATCAGGTCGTTCATCAATCATAGGACCAGGATTGAGTTCAACATCTCCTGATAAGAGGAGGAGCTTACGTAGACAAACAATCAAATAGAGATCATTGTAAATCAGGTTAGAACTGCTGCCTCCAGGTAAGACTACTGACTGGAGGTAATTTGTATCAGTAACAATAACACCAGTAGTACATTGTACTTGGTAGCAGTTACCTAATAATAAAATACCAGTAAATATACAAGTACAAAGTTGCAATTGTTGTTTACCTGTTGGAGGAATCATCAAGATGTATCTTAACAAAGAGGGAGAGAGAAAGAGGAGGAGGAGTAAAGCAATAAGAAACAGAGCTACTGGCAGTTTAAATGTCTTCTCTCCTGATGTAATACTGCCTGACTTGGTGTCTACTGCAGCTTTGAATGAGTGAGAGTGGCGGCCATTAGCTGGTCTACTGGAGGCAGCTTGACAGTAGTTCCACAGTCCAATACTTGCTCTCCATTGAGAGACATCAATCATCTTGTACTATAGTATGGAGGACAATGAGAGAATTAGGTAACTTAAGGTGTAGCTATTTCAGCGATCACTTACACCACAATAAAGAAAGAAGGATTTTATAAAAGGAATTGAAGAGAAGATCTTTTCTAGTACTGCAAAGTAAGAGTAACCTTCACTAGTTAATCAAAGGAACAAGCTTTCCCTGTAAACTGAAATGGAGCAGTACAGATGTACTACATGTACCAGTGTATAAAGGATGGGTGTATCAGTGTATGTGTGTGGTATATAGGACCTCATGAAAATAGTTACTGGAACACACCAATAACACTGAATATCATTATGATCAATGATTATAGTTATTAGAACAATAATAATACTGATTGTACAAGTATATAAATAAATATTATAATTCTTTCCTCTTCACGATTAACTTATTCATGTCTTTTTATCACACTCACTTTTGCCTTTCTTCTCATGCAAAGCAGCAATGACATTGTAATTTTATAGAACCATTTTTTACTACAACATAACTTAGTTGCAAGGGTCAGGCCACGCCTGACTAAACATAACTGAAGTCCCTATCAAAAATTATTTATGGGTGTGTTTAGCAATGCCTATTATAGTACCTTTGCTAGGCTATGTATAATATCTCCAATGAGAAGTGTGTACAGGTTTATGGTATTATATCATGATCATAATCTTATCCTTTTCTTTTATAACATACCACATTCAATGAATTAATTAATTGTGCTTATTGTAGTCATTAGTGTTGTTTATTTATTTATTTTATTTATCATTATTTAGTGACAAGTGAATTAATAGTTCACTTGTCACTTTATTTCTACCATTCATCTATAATAATCATTAAATTTTACTTTCTCTCTCAAATAAAGGGATTTGTTGACTGTACTCATGTGTATGTATCTTTGAGTTCCTCTTGTGTTGAATCTAAAAGTTGTAGGTAAACTTCTTGTAACAACACTAATATCTGATACTGTACGATATTCACTGGATACTATTCTCTGTGGAGGCACTGATGAATAGACACTAGCAGCATCTTCTTTAAATAAGTTTTGATACATGTCATTAATAATAGACACAGAATATTAAATGAAATAACTGAATGCACATACATGTAGCAATAAGAAAAACAAAACCAAATGTTTTAAATTGAAAGTTCATTATACCAAGAGTATTATACTACAGTACAGTGTCACTCAAAGCATACAGTATTGCTATCCTGTATCACTGGTCTTAGAATAACTTTAGTATCTTGTTTAATGTGTTCTGGTAATCATCTTCTTTGCAATAACCAATACTGAAGTGTCTCGTTGGTATTAAGTTAGTGCCTGCAATTTTCAACTCCCAGGAGTGCCAGGTAGCCAAGTTAGTCATCATATACCACATCTTGGATATTGACCCCATCCTTCTATTCATGTAGTACCATGTAGTATCAACTACAGACAAAATTTTTACTAATAAGAAAATTTACTAGAGTTAATATGATGCTGTACGATGCCTAATCGATAATGTTTCTGGAGATCTTGATGAACTTCTTTTACTATTGATATCTGATGTTGCACATTGCCAAATGGATACTGTTTCTGGAGATACTGATAAACTTCTTGTATCTGGTGCTATATGATACAAATGAGGTACTGCTCTTTGTAGAGATCCTGATGAATGTGTACTAGCAACATCTTCCTCTAACGCAGTGGGGTCTTTAGTAGATACAATAGTTGGATCAGCATTCCATTCTAATAATAACTGAACTACTTCATAATGTCCTTTAGAATTAGCAAGCATTAAAGCAGTATGACCTCTTTCATTTTGAACATTAGGATCAACTTGTTCATTCAGCAACAGTTCAACAATTGGAGTGTGACCATTTTGACAAGCCAACATGAAGGCATTCCAACCATCTTTCATTTTAACTTTAGGATCAACTTGTTTTTTTAGCAACAGTTCAACTATTTGAATGTGGCCATTTTGACAAGCCAACATAAAAGAGTTCCAACCGTCTTCTCGTTGATATTTATAATCAACTCCTTTACTAATCAATAGCTCAACTACTTCATAGTTACCATCATAACTAGCAATCATTACAGCATTTGACCCATTTGATTTCTTCAGGTGAGGATTAGCATTAGCTTGTAGTAACATGTGAATGATTGAAATGTGATTATGTTCACTTGCTATCATTAATCCTGTCCATCCTTTATTGTCCTGAATGTTAACATTAGCTCCAGCAGACAGTAAACTGTGTACAATGTCCTCATGTCCTCTTTTACAAGCTAACATTAGTGCTGTCTTGCCTTCTTCATTAGTATGATCAATGTTAACAGTTTCTAGTTGAAGAAGAAACTCTACTGCTTCATTATTACCAGCTGTGACTGCCTCAAGGAGAGCTAGTTCAAAGGTGAAGTTCATATTTTCATCTTCTTGAAGGACAAGATGATCATTAATGTATAAACTAAATATACCAATGAGACGCATAAACTGTTCCTTTCCTCCAGTATATTCTATCAGACTATCAGCTGTAGAACCATGTACAGAATATTTGATGATAACAGATCCAAAAGATATTGTAATATATTTCATTATTGACTGCTGGTGTCCAACTGGAAGTAAGTTGTGGATCAGTAGAGAGAGTCCATGGACGTTGCTAACATGCCATGGATTATGAAGCTTCATTAAAATCATTGGCATATTTGATGTATCTGGTATATGTTCTTTATATATTGTTTGTAATGATTCATTAAGATGCTTTACTTGAGCTGAAATACGAAGTTTATCAGCTTTTTCCTTGTATTGTTGTAATTCACTGACAATATTCAGTTTGTCATCATTGCTAAATTTAAAGTCTTTAAGAAAGACTTCGCTCATGTCCACTATCAAACTGCAATCAATAAAATCATAAAACGGATGAATAATTTTGAAGGTTTCATCTAATGATGCTTTTGTTAGTTTATCATTCCAATGCATGTAAGTCTCCAACCATATGGTAAGTTTCCGTAATATCTTTGGATCCTTCTCAGTCTTCTCATCAAGACCTAGCCGTACATGCATCATTAAACGGGAGAATTCTTTATTGAGACCAATCAATGTATCCAATATCTCCTTTTCATCTTCTGCTGTTTCAAAGGTTACTTCTGCCTGTGATGATAGTCTGGTAGTGACAGCAGCATAACTGCTAGCTGATAGTGGTGCACTTTTTTGTAAGTTTTCTTTAATATCACGTACAAATATGCTGTTTTCTCTTGATTTGTTCAGTGCATTAATCACATCAGCCCATGTTGCATTGGACGCTATGTTCAGCCATTTTGAATATAATGCTAACTTTCTTTCATCAATCGTCACTTTTTCAGCTTCAATCTTTGAAATGTCTGAATGAGTAATTCCTGGTAAGCCAAGACCAAAAGGTTTCCAGTCAACAAGTGGTTCAAGCCATTGAATTAATAATGAAATATCAGGTTGATCATCAATCATAGGACCAGGATTGAGTTCAACATCTCCTGATAAGAGGAGGACCATACATAGACAAACAATCAAATAGAGATCATTGTAAATCAGGTTAGAACTGCTGCCTCCAGGTAAGACTACTGACTGAAGGTAATTTGTATCAGTAACAGTAACACCAGTAGTACATTGTACTTGGTAGCAGTTACCTAATAATAAAATACCAGTAAATATACAAGTACAAAATTGCAATTGTTGTTTACCTGTTGGAGGAATCATCAAGATGTGTCTTAACAAAGAGGGAGAGAGAAAGAGGAGGAGGAGTAAAGCAATGAGAGACAGAGCTGCTGGCAGTTTAGATGTCTTCTCTCCTGATGTAGTACTGCCTGACTTGGTGTCTACTGCAGCTTTGAATGAGTGAGAGTGGCGGCCATTAGCTGGTCTACTGGAGGCAGCTTGACAGTAGTTCCACAGTCCAATACTTGCTCTCCATTGAGAGACATCAATCATCTTGTAATTATTATTATAAGACATGAAATAGTTCCCAAGACACTTGCATCATAAATAAGACAACAGACAAGTGGGAGTGTTGTCGTTGGACTTGTCGATCATCATGTGAGATAACTGTACATACAGTTATTATTATCATTTCAGTAATTATCCTAAGTTTGGTCTTGCACAATGTGCATTACATAGCACGTTAAATTCACTTTGTGTAGTGTCTTTAATATCATAGTGATTAAACAATAAACAAGGATAATGATAATGCACAATGCACACAAAAACTAAGAAATGTTTCTATTTAAAATACATGTGCATAATACATACATGGTACTGATTGTATATGCTACACTTTATAATGAAATAGTACTGTATACTGGTTTATTTTCATGATAAAAAAATTTAGCAAATTCTGTATTTGTAAGATTTTGCGGAATAATTTTTGCGAATAGCTTGTTAAGTGCACCACATGGCAATAGAAATGCAAAATTTTGTGCTTATGATTTTTGCAATAGGGCAAAACGTAAAATTTGCAAAAATAAACTGGCATTGAGTAATTGTGATAATGTCTGGTCTGGTAC